TTATTTCAAAACTGTTATTGTTAACATTTTTAGTGCAACTGTTTTTTTTTGTTCCTTTCAATCTTATAAACACGTCTAAGGATAAGGAAGTGTTTTGTTATGGTAGGTTTTGGATATAGAGTTTATCCTGAAAGAAATGGGGACTCTTCGATTATTCTATAAAAGGTTCAAGATACTGTGATTAAAGATGTTTTATGATAAATGGTTTATCGTAATCGCTGAGATTTATCATTTATCAGCTGTGTGCTGTTTTATTAAAAGATGCAAGAAGAATGCATTGTTAAAAATCTTCAAACTTTTCACTCGAAGGTTCTCGATTTCAACGCCGATGGCTTCATTGCATTTGATGAGTACTTAATCTTATGGAAAGCTTATGACCTGGATCCACGTTTTGCCATGATGCAGTTTGATTACATGGATACTGACAACGATGGTAATATTAACCAGGAAGAAGCTGTGGATGCAATCATTGAATATGTATGCAATACTGACAGGGAAGGTTCACCAAATCGTTCTTTGGACCTTTAATTACTTCTAACAGTTTGTGGAACTGTACTGATAATGCATAGTAAGAACCAGGTCTTGGGCCGATATAAAGATGGCAGCAGTGTTGAATCTATTAATCAATCTCAAAAGATTGATTTTTTGATACCAAGTAATATTATATGGAATAAAACTGAGCTTTCTAACATATTTATTGTGTCCTCAACATTATTAATGTGACATCATAGAGCACACATGTTTGTTTTTGATAATTTACATGTTAGTCTCATTACACGTTTTCATATCTTTTTTCACAACATAGTACCAAGAATTGTTTCAATGGAAAAGAGGACGTCTCTAATTGGTCAAAAATATGGGCTCGGCATTCTCCGTCAGATTGAATCGGCAAAATTCGGTTGTATGGCTTACCTTCGGTTGTATGGCTTACCTTCGGCTGCATGCCCCAACCTCGATTGATTGGAAAAGATGCTGTCCCCAATGGAAAATACCACACACGTGACACTACACACCTCCCACAAGTATTCAAGAGATAATGATGTAGGGGTCCCCCGTTGGGTGTCCAGAGACTTGAAGCAAGACTTGCTTGTATTCGTGAATGCAACTAACGCCAGCTGTCGGCTACCGGATTAACCTACTATTTTATGGGCTACTCATTTAATTACGAATAGTACCTGCCACTATTCCATTCATATTAAATGAATTGGCCATAAAATAGTATGTTAATGTGGTAGCCGTCGGGCGTTAGTTGGGCGCTAATATTTTGCACTTGCAAATTAGCTTAATAGTTTACCATTTCATTGGTTGGATTCCTTGTTTAATCCCAAGTGTTATGATTAGGTCAGTGCGTAATTATATTTAATTATATATAATTACTTTATTATTTATTTATTATTTATATCCAAAATAAATATTATTTATATTAAGCTAATATTCAAACATTGTAAAGATCTTGCTGTATTCTTATGATTAATGACTATTTAGACCTCAGTTTGTTCTAGTACAGGGGAATCCCTACGCTACTATATTGAGCTAAAACAGAGATATATCAAAGTAATTCTGACAAGTTGTTACTTTCAACAACCAATCACAACTCGGAATTATGATTTGAATCGTGCTTACATAAGCATGAAATCAGCAATATCAGGGCCGTCAGATGGGGGGGTGCGATGGGTGCGACCGCACCCCCCTTTGTTACCCCCCCAAAATAAATTTGAATATTTTTTTTGTTATTTTTTTTCATTGACTCATACACTTTGAAAGTACCCAGAAAGCACCAAATAGCATCTTAAAATTGTAAAATTTTCTAGGGGTATTGGCCACCCCTCACACCCCCCACAAAACAATGGAAAAGTTCTAAATTTATTTTAGTGTTTTGTCTCAGACACTTTTAAAGTGCCCAGACATCATCAAATAGCTCTTTGATATAGTTGGTGTTTCTGGGGGACTTGCTCCCCCTCTTGCATCTTGCACTTGCATAACCCCCCCCCTCTGGCGCCCCCCTTGACCCCCCGTCTGGCGCCCCCCCCTCTTGACCCCCCCACCAGAAAGCACCAAATAGCGTCGTAAAATTGTAAAATTTTCTAGGGGGAGTGGGCCACCCCTCACACCCCAAACAAAACAATGGAAAAGTTCTGAATTTGTTTTATGTATTGTCTCAGACACTTTTAAATTGCCCACACATCATCAAATAGCTCCTTGATAAAGTTAATGATTCTGGAAGACTAACACTTACTCGCCCTCTGGCATCCCCACTCCACCTCCCCCTCTGGCAGCCCCCCCCCCCCTTAACACCCCCCCCCCCAAAAAAAAAAAAAAATTTGGGATGAGATTTTTCAAATTTTTTTATTGACTCATACATTTTTAAAGTGCCCAGAAAGCACCAAATAGCATCTTAATTTTGTAAAATTTTCTTGGGAAATATGCGCTTTTAGGCACAGACACTTTTAAAGTGCCCAAACTTCTAATGGAATAGCACCTTGATATTGTAAGTTTTGATATGGGGGACAAACACTTGCTCCCCCTCTGGCACCCCAGCCCCACCTCCCCCTCTGGCACCCCTCTCCACCCTCTTTGACACCCCCAAAATTTGAAAAAATTGTGATTGTTTTTCAATGTTTTTATTGACTAATACCTTTAAAAGTGCCCAGAAGCACCAAATATCATCTTTAAATTGTAAAATTTTTTAGGAGAGTTAGCTACCTCACATCCCCCTATATTCTGAATTTCATGTATTGTCTCAGACATTTTTTAGTGCCCAGACATCATCAAATAGCACCTTGATATGGTCAATGTTTCTGGGGGACATCCCTTGCTCCACTACTGGCACCCCACCCAACTTCACCCTCTCATCCTCTTTGACACCCCCAAAAGAATTTGAAAAAAAATTCACATTTTTCTTATTGACTCATAACGCACAGGCCTACCAGATGGTTCCAAATTCGCTCCAAATACAAGCAAATTTCAAAATTTTCCTGGGGGAGAACCCCCAGACCCCCCTGAATGCTCGGTTTTTTATTCACTCAACTCTTATTCTTGTGGTGGTGGCGTACTACTAACTTAGAAACTTACACTTTGAAAGTGCCCAGGAAGCACCAAATAGCATCTCAAAACTGTAAAATTTTCTAGGGGGAGTGGACCACTCCTCATACCCCCCACAAAACAATTGGAACGTTTGGATGTTGCATTTGTTAATTCCAAACCAATATAGGGAGTAACTCACCCCCCCCCCCCCTCTGTCTTACGTGATTTGATTTACGCGGTAAAAAAATTGACAATTTTATATTCTCTTTAGTAAGTTAAAAACCGCACCCCCCTTGGAGAAAAGTGTCTTACGGGCCTGAATATTCTTATTTATATTTGCACAATTTTGACAGGTAAAATAATGCATTTTACCTGGTATATAAAGAAGCCGGCAAGATCTGTTGATTCAGTAAGTTTTACTCACTCACAACTATGCTAAACAACCGATGAAAGGAGAAACAACGACGAGATTACTGAAACGCGCTGCTGACCGGATCGATCTCAAGAATAGAATTGGAAATTAAAATAAATAAGGAAACTAAATCAAAAGAGTCGTGTTCGATTAGGGAGTCAGGAACCCTGCGAGTACTAAAGGATCACAAGGTCCCGAAGTTACAGTTACGATCCGTAACACAAGGGACGAATGATCAGCCTTTCATGCTAAATAATAAAAGTATTGATCACTGCCAATTTCCATTCCACTGAACCGTACTACCCTAAATCACTGTGATGATATCATAAAAAGTTGTAATAAGCTGGACATTCTCAGCATTTACTCCAGCTGTTTCTTTCAATCTCATAATGAATGCCAAAGTTTTTAAATGTATGTGAGCGTCAAGTTCAGATAAACATGTCTTTAAATGTATGTGAACTTCAAGTTTACATAAACACGTCTTTAAATGTATGTGAGCTTGAAGTTCACATAAACATGTCTTTAAATGTGTGTGAACTTCAAGTTCACATAAACACGTCTTTAAATGCATGTGAACTTCAAGTTCACATAAACATGTCTTTAAATGTATGTGAGCTTCAAGCTCAGATAAACATGTCTTTAAATGTATGTGAACTTCAAGTTCACATAAGGATGTCTTTAAATGCATGTGAACTTCAAGTTCACATAAACATGTCTTTAAATGTATGTGAGCTTCAAGCTCAGATAAACATGTCTTTAAATGTATGTGAACTTCAAGTTCACATAAGGATGTCTTTAAATGTATGTGATCTTCAAGTTCACATAAACACGTCTTTAAATGCATGTGAACTTCAAGTCCACATACACATGTTTTTAAATGTATGTGAACTTCAAGTTCACATAAACATTCTTTAATTGTATGTAACTTCAAGTTCAGATAAACATGTCTTTATTGGGCCCATTTTTGAAAATCTGGCCTGAAATGAAAAATAAGGCCAAAAAGCCCATTAATGATACCCAAAAAGACCCATTAATTTAAGCCCTACAACATTTTATTGGCCCATTAAGACCCATTAATTTAAGCCCTACAACATTTTATTCATATTGGCTCATGGGGGGGGGGGGGCATGGGGTCCATCCCCCTCCCCATTGGATCCGGCAGTGCAGCGAGAGTGTTTGGTGGGTATTTATAAAGAGAAGAGTTAGTTCATTTAGTACGACTGTCAAGAAGTTTGTGGATTACAAAGAGCCATCTTTAAATGAGTTTAGAACTACACCGGGAGAACTACATGACTTACATATATGGTTTATAATCTTACCATGTCGTTCTAGCATGGTTCAGATACATATATTGATATGTCAGATACTAAGCATATACAATAGCATTTAATATGATTTAAGGGTTGCTTATTCAGAATCATAAGTTATCAGATGTAACATTATTACCTACTATAAATATTTGAATTTCCGGGTTCGAATAACTCATTGCTTGTTTTCCTAGCTTTGTTAAAAAAACTCTCGTAATATCTCCAAAAACAATCACGTGATCAGTTTAAAACGTAATTTTGTATTTCGCCAAAATGGAGGCGCCAAATTTATATACAATATTTGTCGAACGATTTAACACGCCTGTAGTGTCTGGATAACGTTGATTCAATGTTCCTCGGCTAGATGAAGTATTAAAGAACACGACGGAATAATAATCACTGAAATCAGGGTAAGTTCAAGTATATTTTAGGGGGCTTGAATATTTAATTAGATGTTTTGAATTCGACCATTTTGCACATTTTGCAGTTCAAATCTCACAGATTTTGAAAATAAAATGAGCACAAAGGTCAACTGTAACATCACCTGTCATTTTGAATACCGAATCCAATCGGGTCACTGGTACTCTTGTGACATGAATGCTTAGGAAATGTCACAAATTAGTTTCTAAATCCAACAAAATTCACTTGCATGCCCGGTTTTGCAGTGCAGCCGGTAAAATGATGAAACTGAAGTGAAACTTCTTTCAGTGTGGAATGGGGACAGGCCCATCATAGCTAGATGTACCTGTAGGTCTACATTTCTGAATATTTATAATGTTTCCATACTTTCCAGGGAGTATTACACACACAACCCTCTTCAATATATTTAAAAATCTAGTATGAAACTTGTTTATGTCCTAATAATAGGGCGCTGTGTTTCTGATGTTCACTGTATTGGGTAAAGTTTCAAATGCAGAGTGAGTTGTATATATAGCCGGTAGTTACCTTCATTGAAAACATCGAAACTGTCTTCTATATGATGTCATAAAGGGTCACTCACATGCTTGCAATGCAGGATTGGTGTAGATTATTAGTCTAGGGTCCTAAATGTAGTTCTGAAGCTTTCAATATAAATGCTAAATATACTTAAGATGTCAACATATTAAATATCACATGTTAAATTTTCCAGGTTTGCAGATTGAGGGAGCAATCACTATGACGGCTAAGAGCAAGTCTAGAAAGTCCTCCTCCATTGCTGCTGAAGACAGTAAGTCGCATACATTGCATGAATAAAAAATATCAAATTTCGAGGTGTTTATTTGATTATATACATGAAAAGTCCAGAAATAGAGAGCGGTAACATGTACAGATTACTGAACATTAAGTCGTTGCCTTTACTTGCATTGTTCAAGTTAAAAAATAGTTATGTCAACAACGTTATTCATCAATCCCATTGATTAGATAAAATATACAATTTAAATTTAGGTTGACTTTCAATTCCTTTCTCAGTGTTCCGTTCTAGTTTAAATTCTTTGACATCAAAGAATAAAAATCCATGTTAGAGCTGGACCAATATTTTGATCCATGATTTTGGAATACATGCCTTTACTGTATTAAAAGATCCAATTTAATTAAACAAGATTGTACATTTAACAATACAATGTTAATACTCTCAGTAGATTCTGGATTAAAATATGTGTTTAGTGCTTCTAAGTACATTTAATTAAACAGCTTATGTTAGGCCTGTAACAACATCAAAGCTTTCCTACTCAATCATTCACAGTCATTCCAATATTCAGATTTTTCATTCAAATTCTGAAATTTCATTCAATAACAAAAAGTATGCTTTATAGTGTTAAAATATTGTTTTTACAATTGGATATTAATTATTAAAATTCTAAAGTTTATACATTTCAAGTTATGCTGATGTATGTACTGATACAGTTAAATCATGGGCTTTCAATTAGAAAGCCCATGGTTAAATTTAGGCTAATGCATGGAAAAGATAAATTTCAGGGCCTTAGCCAGGGTGGGGAGAGGATTTGGGTGAACTAAGAATTCTTTGAGACTCATGCAGTTTTGCACCATTCTGCAAACTTTTCAAGTGACTTTGAGCAAAAGTTGTCAAATGTGAACCCCCCTGGAATTTTTGAAAAGTAGACCCCCTTAGCAAAAGCTGACAATGGGCCTGCATGTTATGTTTCAAGTTTGTCTAATGTATGTAATGCTAGTTATTCTCATATATGTAATGACATATTTCAGTGGAGTTGAGACTTACTGAACGCAAACCTCGGAAGAGGAAGATCAGCACAAGTGAAGACGATGATGATGATACAGGTAAACATCTAGTTATAGAAATATTCATTCATATTCATGATGATGATACAGGACAGGTAAACATCTAGTTATAGAAATATTCAAAATTCATTATTCGTTGTTCCGACTATTTTCATGCTATAGTTTCAGCTGAAGGTGTTTGACCTACTTACAGCAAAAATACATGTAATTACTAGAATAGTATATAATCTGTTCCAAATCAAATTTCCCTTCCCAGAATGAAATAGTCATTATGCACATATGTATGCACTATGCAATATGCATCTATTCTGGATGTAAGCGAAATGTGAAGAGTGATATTCCAAAATGTTATTTTTATTTCAGAGTCCACAAATTCCCCATCGATTAGTAAAAGAGAGAATGGCCGCCAGGCTAGCTCCCACAATAAACCTGCAGAAGTATGTATTATCTGACTAGTGAATGATAACCTAATAAAAATTCACATGTTTTACCATCTACCTGTTATTGAGGTTACAAGTTGCACCTTTGTTTATAATTTTATGTCACAACTAGAAGTGATGACGTATTGTTATAGTCACCAATTTGATTAAGGATAGTGTTTTGGTATTGACATTCGGCGGCTGAAGTTTGGCGTCTGTTAGAAAATGCAATAACTCATAAGGTGGTGATATTTTGTCATGTTATGTTTGTTGAAAATTATCAGGTACCCAATTGAACATCCATTTGGACTTTATTTGAAGAACTGCATATTTTAATCAGTTTTTCAATATTTTCACTTTATATGTATAGTATTTTTAGACCTTTGTTGTTAATTTCTTAAAATTACCATGTACTCAAATGTACATCAATCTGGATACAATTTAAAGAATTTTGTATATTATGATCAGTTTTCATCACTTTTAAAGACACTTTACACGCAATATAGATCTGACGCAAATAATTAGGATCAAACTATTTACTGTGTGATTTAAATGTTTCAGTTGTTCCGTAAAGATTTGATCAGTGCAATGAAGTTACCAGACCAGGAGCCACTGGCGCACGGAGAGTTTTTCCGAATCTGTGATCCTTGGAGGCAAGAATGGGAAAAAGGAGTACAAGTCCCCGTAAACGCAGAAAAAATCAACAGAGCCAATGTCAAGTATGTGATGAATATTTTTAACAGAATTCATCCAACAATACATGTAATTGTAGTCCTGCTTCTTGATCTTGTTTTGTTTTATAGTCAAAATGTTTTATGAATAGGCATTAACTAATTTTTGATCAAGTTAAAGTAAGTTTTCAAATATTCTGGAATGAGAAATTCTAATGACAACCCTGTAGACACTGCACAATTTTTCTATTTACCTACTAAATATTGATAAACGGCTAAACTTGGTGTGAGAAATATGAGACAGTAGTTTTTGCAGCATAAAACTCTTTTAGATACAAGGGTCAGTCAAAAAGTTTCTTACTTTTGACTCCTGATTTTATAATAATACACCTTTTTTAATTTAGTGAAATATTATTATTCCAGTGCATTGAAAGAGAAATCCAGATTAGGTGGTGATTTCAAACTACCTCGCAAGTTCCTGCACACTTCCAATGATGAAACATACAAGGCTGGGCTACATGAACTCACTGGGATGCATGAATTAGCAGAACAGGTCTGCCGCTATGATTTAGATGAAGTGGATGTGGAATGGTTGGATAAACTGAATGAGATACGTGAAGATATGGGTAGGTGCACCATTGATATAATCGCAAATATAGACTCATTTAAGCAAAACTAATCAAATGATTTTATGATGAACATAGTGGTACTGGCAGTGGCCCCAGAAAAATGTTCTTTGTAAAAAGGGGTCAAGGGGAAATGTGGGTCAAATTTAATCAGAGCATATAGGCTCATATCAAACAAATCTGGATAAAGATAAATGTCTAAATACTGAACAAATATCTTTCACAAGTGATATTCCACGAAGCCCGAAGGGCAAGTGGAATATCACCTTGTGAACGTGCTACAGGTATTCACCGAAAATAGAGTGAAATATTTGTTTTATTATATCACTGTCTAGCTAAACATCCCTAATATTATTAGGTCATAGGTTAACATTGAAATACATTGAATCTACTCGGTTCGTCTGCCATTTTGACTTACACTGAACTAAATTATTTACACTGAACGAAAACAAATTCTTTGAAAATTCCCGGGAGCGTGGGATATCGCTAGATATCTCACGGTTGTCTTATCTGATTAGCATTGCCATTGAATATCGCCAGATATTTCACGACATGTGACCCGGTTTTGACCAATCATACTGTTGCTAGCTAGATAGTGATATAATAAATGTAGATATTGCAATGTGGTAAAATGGTGTTTATGTCATTGCTGGTAAAGTTGTTTTGTTTCTTAAGTAAAATGGTGAAAAAGTCATAATGATCAAGTGCATCAGTGCCACAGTGGTAATATAATACATGTATTGTAAGAAGTCTCTTATTTGGCTGTGGGTCATTTAAACTTTGATCTTTTAGGAGAATGCAGTGAACAAGATATAAATTGTATATTTGATATCTAATACAATGAAAAGACTATAATTTTTGGTCATATATCGCGCCATAAATCATAGAATCTCTGGCTTTATTCCTTAATCCAACGCAATGTTATTACACAAGACATACATTTCAACTCTTGCAGGAGAGTGCAGTGTACAAGAGTGGACCATGGAGAAAGTCATGGAGGAGCTAGAGAGACAGTGTTATGATAACATGCAGAAAACAATCAAGACAAAGGAAGGCCTGGGGATTGAATATGACGAGAATGTTCTATGTGATGTTTGCAGATCGGTAAGTTATTTGGGTAACTGGACAACTCGGACCCAAGACAACTCGGACCACTTTTTAAAATTATGATTTTTATCATTATGTGTGGTTTTATTTTTTTCATTTATCCATCCTTGTAAACTGAATGGAATAGAGGCTTTGCTTTACTGTACTCAATGCTTTGAAGTTTCGTTTTAAATGAGCTTTGATCAGATATGCATTTTTAATCATTGAAGGTTTTAACACTTTCTTCTATTACTTATTTTGATTTTAATTGGTTGTATTGGGTTTGTGTTAAGTATGAAAGTTGAGAGTAAATATAATATTAGGCAAAAATGCAGTTATCATTTTAAAATCAGGTACAATATTGTAACTGGGAAATGAGGCACTACACCTTAGTTTGCAAAACCATTTCAGATTTGAAAAATATTTTTTGCACATCTTTTCTATAATTTGTTATATCAAGTTCATATATTCTTATTTCAGCCTGATTCCGAAGACAACAATGAAATAGTATTCTGCGATGGTTGTGATATTGGTGTCCATCAGGCATGCTACGGCATTACATCAATCCCAGAAGGCAATTGGTTGTGTCGCACTTGCGCTCTCGGCATCAAACCCCTTTGCATTCTTTGTCCTAGAAAAGGAGGCGCAATGAAAAGCACAAAGTAAGTCTGAAGTGTATAGTGGTGGTCAGTTATTGAACTTTTACAAAGGTTGTTAAGATACTTAAGATTGTCAGATACAATATTTACACTTATCACCAAGGAGATGTCAGTGTTTCATCATGACTATGAAAATTACCTTGCAGTTAATAGATGATTAGTATCCATTTGATAATTGAGAAAATTAAAAATGTTAAGTAGTAGTACTTTTACAAATGGACATAGTTTTGTTGTATTTTCTACTAGGAGTTTCAAAAATGGACATATTATTTTAATTTCTGTTGTATTTTTTCTACTAGGAGTGGCACCAAATGGGCACATGTGAGCTGTGCTCTGTGGATCCCAGAAGTTAGTATAGGATGTGTGGAAAAGATGGAGCCAATCACCAAGATATCACAGATACCTGTAAGCTCAAAAATCAAGAAATATTAACAAATATATGCCTGTATTTTATTCATTTATAAATTGTCATCATTTTTGATAAATAATAAAGAGGGTAATAATCTTTGTGAGAAGCTTGTAAAATCAATTTAGTTCAGTGGGCTCTGAGGCTCATACTTTTTTGATACTTACATGTATTTATTCATTTATAGTATAAACTCTATTGAAATCAGTGCAATACTATCGTCTACAAAAAAGTTGAACATGTATAACAATATGTCACCACTTGTGGTAATGACATAAACACAGTATGTGTATATGGTTGGTGTTCAGCATCTGTAACAAATGGCAGGTGGTGACATTTTGCATGTAACACCTTGTTGATCACACAATAACCTCATTATGTTCCAATTATAGGCGAGTAGGTGGGCACTTATATGTACCTTGTGCAGAGAAAGGACTGGGGCATGTATACAATGTGCAGTAAAGACGTGCAAGACTGCGTTCCACGTCACATGCGCTTTCTCACAAAAGCTCGTCATGGAAACAATCCTAGATAATGAGTTTGACGAGGATGATGGAGTCAAGTTACGGGTAATTACGAAATTAAGAATTTTCTATGTTTATATCTTTTTATTTAGAACTAATGGCATCGTATATTTTCCCCAAAATCATCATATATATCTGCTGTTGTTCATCAATATCTGATTTGTCTTGTGTTCAGAGTATTAAGAAGTTAATCCTCCATTTTTCATAAATTCAAATGTGAATATAACTTTATTCCAATTTAAAAAGTTCTATCTGTATGTTTACCTGTATATAACACCTATGTAATGTATTTTTTAGGGTTTCTGTCCAAAGCATACCAACAAGAAGGACCGTATTGGATCTGACAGCCCCAGTAAGAAAGATGATGAAGAGAGTGACCATGATCTCTCAACAGAAGAAGGGAGACACCAAAGGTATGAAAATAACTCTCTTGTAGATTTTAGTATGAAATAGGGGATGAAATGGAAGACTGCCTATCCAAGGGAAAATCTAAAAAACAAGAATTACAAAATAATGAGGCTTTCTTCTGACAATTTCCGATATTGTCCCTAAGATTTCAGGATCTAGTTAAAATTGAATTTACACCAGTTATTATTTTCCTACATACATGTCAAGATTATCAGCTGGAAATTCGCTACCCATTGTGTTTTCTGACACTAAAAAGAAAAGGAAACAAAATATTATAGGTCATATTACTGGTGCAGTCATGTTGAATACTGTTCAAACATGGTTGACTAAAGCACCCAGGATTTGTGGATTAAAGCACCCATGATTTGTGATGAAAATTATAACTGGAACACTTTTTCAAAGTCCTGTTACTGATCGACTAAATGAATGCAGATGAAACATTGTAAGTGGAACACCTCCCAAGTGGAACATTGTTGAAATGTACTAAAGGCGTTCCATTTATATGAATCTTTTTTTTTTAATAAATCTTTATTTTTACATATTATTTTACAGGTTATTAATGTTGTTAACTGAAGAAGGAGAGAGAGAGAGAGAAAGGAAGATTACATTGATTTTTGTCACTTTGTATATTGTATATTATATTAATCTTTGTTTAATGACTTTTGTTTGTCCTACAGATTAAAAGAGTTAGAAGACATTTTCTACACCTGTGTCCAGCCAACTGATGTAGCCAAAGCTCTAGACTTAGAGGAAAGTGTAGTGGACTTCATTTTCAACTATTGGAAGTTAAAAAGAAAGGTATGCTATCACATGCTCATCCCCATGGAATCCATCATTTTTACAAGAATCAAAACCTAAAATTTGAAAATATTTTATCAAAATGCAATAAGTGCAGTTTTAAAAAAATATTCCCCCAGAGACCTTCTACAGGAGTAAACCAACACAGAAATGATTTAATTTGATAGTTGGCCTGTCGCTTCACATTGTATTTCAATAAATTGATAGTTGATCTGTCGCTTCACATTGTATTTCAATAAATTGATCTTAAGACCTGTCACCTTAGACTGTATTTCAACAAATTGATAGTTAACCTGGTGCTTCACATTGTATTTCAATAAATTGATATTTGACCTGTCACTTTTGACCATTGATTGACAAATTGATCTTAGACTGAACTTCAACAAATTGATAGTTAACCTGGTGCATCACATTGTATTTTAGGCTAACTATAATAAAGCGTTCCTGACCCCAAAGACAGAGGAAGCAGACTTCCTCTCTAAGCAACAAGAAGATAGCCTCTTAGCCAGAATGAAGATGTTTGTACAGTTGCGACAAGATCTTGAAAAGGTACACACCACCTCTATGCAAACTTCATTTAAAATATATTTTCACGAAGGGAAATAACCCAGAATCTTAAATGAACATATGTAGTGATGAAGATGAACTCCAGAGGTTAATCTTTAAAATAGTTTCATATTTGAATTCTGGGGTATTCTTTCTTCTATCCTTTTCAAGAGTTTATATTTGTGACTTTAAAAAAGGGTCTATTTACCCTATTTAGATACTAAGAGATCAGTCATTGATCTAACTTCATCTTATTAGGCACACATCCCTGTATTCGAAAAAGTCAAAAATTCTGAAAAGTCTTACAAAATGCCAATTTCTTACTCAATGGGTCTTTAGTCATGAAAATAATTAAATTTTGTTGTTATTGTGCATAAGCCGCTGTTTCCTCAGCAGTTCGTCTCTTGTATTGTAAATTCACTTTGTGCTCCCTCGTGTGCTTAAATTCTCACTTGTTGCGCAGATTTTGTATTCTGTTATTTTATTGATATCTAGGTATTATTAAGATCTTCTCGTGTTTCAGGTTCGCAACTTGTGTTTCATGGTCAAACGTCGAGAGAAAATCTGCCGTGAACTCTACAAGGAGAACCACAGTGTCTTCACGATGCAGTCACGCATGCTGTGTAATGACAAATTGAAATTCTCTAAAGACGATATGAGGTTGATAAAGGAGGGAAATCAAAGTAACAATATAGTTTACGATTTCCCAGAGTTGTTCCAGAGAGATAGTTATCTGACCAATTATTTCGATCGTCCTGAGATTCAGAATATTACGCCAAATCAAACAGAGGAAATGAACGAGGATATGCTTGCGCAGCAGCTTCTTGAGGAATCTAAAGAAACATCACTGAATAAAAAATCAACAGCAAAACAGAATTCTCTGTCCATCGATAGAAACACTGATAAACCTATTATAAAGGATGAGAAAGATGAGCGTGCAAATGCAAGTCAACATAAAAGGGAGATTGAGATACTGACAGGGTTAAAGAACAGTCCAAGAGGGAAGGGTGGCTCTGGAAAGGGTAAATCAGATACTGCAAAGTCCAACCTCAGCCAGGGCGGGAAATCTCACAGAGGTAAAGGCAAGAAAGATGTCGAACAGGAAGACATTGAAAATGTTGGTGCAGTTGATCGACGTGCAGACAACAGGAGGCTCCGTGGAGACCCCCTCAATGATCGTAAACGATCAAAAAGTGATATTTTATCTGATTCAGTGTCCGATAAGGAGCCGGTGGAATATTCTGAGCGTAAATTACGAGATCGGGACTCAGTTAATAACAACAAAGAATTATTGGATAGAACGTTAAGCCCTAAAAAGGAGGTGAATGGGGTCGTCAAAAAGAACCCTTTTGTTATAAGTGATATTATAAAAGATAAAGTCCATAATGGAATAAAACGAGGTCGGAAAATTAGACCATATATGAATGGCCTCAGAAAGCACATAAAGCGGTTAACTGACCCAAATCAAAGAACATTAGATGGTTACTTTAGACCAAGGACTCCAGAAAGGAGGAAACTACGCCCCGTGAATGACCCATCTATACATAAAGTACACGATAATGGCCGTCTTCAAGATGAAATGTACATCAATGGACAGTCATCCCCTAGATATAAAAAATCACCCCCAAGAGTTAACAGAAAGATCAGCCAAGTTGACAGTGACTTTGATGGGTACAATAGCCCAGAAACACGTAGCACACGTCGTAAAATTGCATCTGGCCTGAAATCAGGTTCGAGAATGTTTTCAAATGTGGACGATGAGATAAGTATAAGTCTCAGTAGTAGGGAACCATCTCCCGAGTTGACAAGGGGGTACCAGAAAAAATCACGTAGAGAACTTGATTCACGTCTAAAATCAACTCTAAAACAGCGAAATCTTAGCGGAAATGACAGTGCAGATAGCGAAAGTGAGGCTTCAAGCGAGAGTAGTCTCAGTGTGTCAACACGTCGTCGTACGCGGAGTCGTGCTCCTGAAATTGATGAGTCATCCCGGGATAGTACTAACTCTAATAGTACACGGAGTACTCGTTCTAAACTGAGTGACTCGTTAAAATTCCCTAGTTTACTCACATGATTGTGATGATTTTAAGAGTAGTTATTCGGTCAACAAATTGAGAAATGTCATGCTTATTTCAAACAAAAGGAAGGTTAAGCTAAATGATTTCAAGAGAACTTGTGTACATGAGAACATAGAAAATTGTCTGGATAATTTCTCCCCTTCGTAATATTTTTTGACCTGAGGCCTAGTGAAGTATAAAGGATTAAGGTACTCTGAAAACAGTTGAAATAAGTTCCGTGAAAATTACAATTTCGAAGGGGACACTACCCTTATGGTCTTTGTTTCACATGTCATGTACAGTTCTCTTAAAAATTTAAGCTTAACTTCCCTGTTATCTATAATATCCTCATGAAGTGTAAAATAATTTTTTAATACAATTGGAAGCATGTGGGTTATGTTTACTTTATTCCTTGCCGATTTCATTATTTTCCACTATTTTGAAACATGACATTTCTCTGACAGACGTCTCTCAATCCAGATTAAATGTGCAATTTTTTCAGGTCCACTATACTGTATAATTGGTACTTAATCCAAGTGGTTAATTTGCAGAATGGTCAAATTTCATCATTTTCCTAATTATAATTTTTCTAATGACAAGAAACTTTCCATTGGATAACATTATGAAGATAATATTTCGGACATTTTATTTTCTGAACCTGGCAAAAATTAGGCAATAGGCAAATTAAATAATGAGGCAAAATTACCACTTATACAGTATATTTCCCCATTCATTATGATGAATTGCTTTATTGTATCACCTTTCTGCATAATTTAGAGTATGGAACCTGTTTACAGCCTTTACACAATTTCTTGCTTATACCATTCTATTCCACTTTATTTTGCATTTTAAATCATGACCCCATCTCAAGGAGGATTGGCTCCCAGGGTTCCAACTCAATATTCTACCATATATGGATATGTCCTGATTAGATTACAAAATTCAAATTCAAACAGCCACCATTTTGTTCACTTCAGAATTTGAGTCACAGATTCTGGTCTTATTTCCCAACAAATAAATCCAAAACACAAGAAGTGATCAAGATGTTGGTTCAAATCTTTAGGACTGCTGATTATTATGAATTATAATGACAGCATTTTCTGTTGGAAAACATTGGCTTGAGTCCCTGGGAGCCAATCCTCCTTGACCTCATCTATTTAATTTTATTTTGGGATAAACGGTCACTTTAATTGTGCCGTTGTTGATGTGGATCAATCTTGTAAAAAATCAGATGTTTGTACATAGTTGTACGTAACATTGTAAATACTGACAAATCAGTGTACTATACCAATGAAATATTTATAATGTAAAATAGAATTGCATTTGAGTATTGTGATCAAAGTATGATTATAGCACAGCATCAGGTTTGAGTTTAAGGGTTACCTTAAAAGTTTGACACTAAATTCTCCATATAATCCATTTCACATAACTTTTTGACCACCCCTGCCCTTTCCAGCTTTATTAATGAATCTGACAGTTTTGGAAATGTGAGTTCCCTAGTGACCATAAAGGGGAATTTTGCGCTTTTCATTGGTTTCAAAAACTGTTCTTTACTCCATCACCTGACCAAATCGATTAAATGTAGAATCTACTGTGAATCATGAACTGACAAAACAACTTGAAATGTGCTTCTTACTTGGCACCTAACTTGAAATGTGCTTCTTAATTGGCACGTAACTTGAAATGTGCTTCTTATTTGCTCAAAATATTCTCTCTGAATAATTATGGTCAATGATAGTCTGACTGTTCTTGATATTATAAGGTTTCTCATAGGCCTATTTTGTTTGTCAAAATGATTGTAATTGATAATTATGTCTTTTTATCAGGACCACATTTTACTCATTTATTCAGATAATCGAAATGATAATAATACAGGGTGGGCCAAAAAATTGGAACATTTGTTAATTAAACACAAAACCTTTATTAAATAAGTGACTGAACTATGCTCAGTTAAAGTTTGGTGTATTTTAGAAGAAAAGTAAAGGTTTTGCGTTCAATTATCAAATGTTCCAATTTTTTGGACCACCTTGTAGAGTTCATTGGGCAATCAATTTTTTCCCAAAGAACTGTATTAGTAAGATTTGAGTTAGCCTACCAGAATACACGTTACTCTACTTACAAAAGAAGAAAGGCAAACATGAGTTATTTCATGAAGTTTTTTTATTCATCACTTTCTAGAATTTCAACTAAAATCTAAATGCTATTTAAGGTATTTTTATTTGGCAATGAAATTGTATATGCCCACTATTAATGCACAACCTTATTTTATTTGATAGAAGAAAATACAGCATTTGTTTATACTATGAATATTTTCCTAACATTGGTTGCACCAAATGTAACTAAGGTGAGCCTAGTTGGGTAACTTTTAGATATGATATCACATGACACCTATATGCAAGCCTACAAAACTTCTGTTACTTGTTCTACCTTTAATAAATTCACACCTCTGTGTCTGTCGAAAAATATATAACGGGAATATTGATCTTGTTCTGGAAAGTTCTCAAACATCCATGGTTAAATTTGTAGCATTTAGGTAGACCAATGGTTTCGATACAGCTAAACCTGTAAATTGGAACACCTCTATAAGTGTAATATCTTTTGTTAATGGAACACTTTTCAAAAGAGTCGAGACCAACTGAAAATCTTCTATAAGTGGAACAGCACACACTTTAGAGGTATCAAAGTTGTTCCACTTCGACAGGTTTTACTGTAAGGAACATGGCTTTTAGGCTTGCATATGACATTGGGTGTAAACTGGGCCCAAACTTGACTCACTCGCACCCTTCCCTAATATACCCTATAACATGAACATGTATATTAAATAAAAAATCTAAGAAAAGTATGAACATACAGCATATTCATGCCTGAGAGTAGAATACAAAGGATGAGTCTGGGAATGAGTCTGGGTATCGACTTAGAAAATATTGAAAATTGTAATGTCTGATAAACCAACTCAATCACACATATTATTAAACTTCAATATCTTATCCTTCTTCTGAGATTACAAAAATATTAATTTGTATCATAATTGATGAAGAATATTGGCATCAAAGAAAGTGCATATCACTTTGTCAGAATTGAAAAAAAATCAATGGCAAATATTAAATGAATTAATTATGCAAAAAGTTTGAAACTTATCTTCCAAAACATTGTTAACTTTCTTTGTATAGACATTGAATGGTATTTCTGGATAAGTGAATTGGTGTTTATCTGGGTAATCAAGGGATTATAGTCACTCAAAGTTACTGAGCATCCAGTTTTGAGACTTCAATTGTGTTGGTGAAGTTACACATATTCCAGTCAAATTCATGCTGAGCACAACATTCCGGTTTCAATTTTATAATCTCTATACGTGACCCTGGTGATAAAGAGTCAGAATCAGTCAAAAAACCTAAACCGGAAAACTGTGCTCATTGTGAAAACTAAAAGTGAAGCAACTTTTTTTCTGATATTTCTCATATCAAATGGCGACCATCTTGTTTTTCCCCCTTCAAATTAAACTGGCGGGAAATTCAAAAATTTGAAAAAATTTTAATCCTTAAATATATTTTTCAAAAATATGCTTTTCTCTTTAATTCTTCATGGGTCTTAAGTTATTTCTTCTTTGTATGTCATACATGTTGCCATTGGAGTTTTTTTCTATGATAATGACTATTTTTTTGTTTGTTAAGATACTTATTCTGACTCTCAGTAGGGGGTTAATTATGCATCAAAACTTGTAAAAAAGTAAATATACTTATCAAATATAACTAGGTCAGTAATAAAAACCATATTTCACATTCATTTGACTGAGGGACCAAAAGGGCATATACCCAGACACATCCTTTTGTAACTAATTTTTTGCAATTCATTTTAGAGTTTTGAAATACTGTACTACCAGTAATTTTCGCATCCTAGTATATTTCGTGCTTTTCGCGAGTTTTGGAAAATTTTGAAATATAATGGCCGCAAAATTCCTACAGTTCTAATTCACAAAATTTGAAGAGTGATGACAAATTGTATGACAAATCCACGAAAATTAATAGCCTTGAATTTCAAATAACTGAAAATTAACGAAATTTCAAAATGCCAAAAATGCAAAATATAATAGCATCAAATATTAGTGGGAGTACAGTATTGATAAATGAATTCAATCATGTCATTACTGTTATATTTGTTTTGCAGGCGTAAATAAGACTAAATGTAGTTCAATCAAATTGAAAAATTGTGTTTCAAATCTATGAGATTTTATAGATTACAGTTCTATATTCTGACACATACATAACTGATATATTGGTCTGTAATATTTTCACTGTAAATTCTATTTTTTTTATTGCCAATTATCGTGTGTATATAATGTACAGCTCTCTGAACAAAATATAAAATACAAAAATATATGAAACTACATCATTGTACTGTTGTTGCATTTGATTATTTATGACAATTTTTGATGGATGGTATTCTCCTCCCAGTTAAATATTACATATATCTTCAATGTTATCTACCTCGAACCTCAGTAGTTATGGTATATGTAATATTTAATAACAGGTAAGAAAAGTGCATATAGCAATAATAGCCAATTTCTGGGTTTGATGATAGATCAAAGATTTTATATTGCATTGTCTGCAAAACATATTAATTCCATTATGATTCATTTGATTAAAAATGTACCCGTTTGATGAGGTGATGTTCATTTTCCTTCAACCCCATTCTCATTTGCTTCATCATCATCACTATTTCCTTCATCCTCATCACTATTTTCATCATTATCACTAATCTCTTCATCGTCACTACTGTCACCATCTTCAATATCATCACTACCATATTCATCACTCTCCTCATCATCACTTCCTTTGTTATCAGCATCTCCAGTATTGTCATCAAACCCTGAGAAAAAGTCGTCCCTGTTTGCTGCCGTGTTTAAAGTCTTTTCCTTAGACTTTTTAGTTGCCTTTTTGCGAACATCGATCTTTTCAGATTCTTTGTCCATTTCTTCAATGTTCCAGAATTTTATTTTTTGGTCATGTGAACAGCTAGCGACATATTTACAGTCATGAGATTGGCTGAGACTTTCTATTGGAAAACCATCATGTTCACCAACATTTCCTAGGAATCGATTTGGCAGTATGTTGACGGCCCTGGAATTAATAATGTATATTAAACTTTTGAACAAATGGAAAACAATTGAACTGCAACTTAACAGTATGAACATGATCTGTTAAATTACAGTGTTACTGTTTTTTATCCAAATGAACAGAGGAAGTGAAGCATTTTGTCATGTGACCGTGTTTGGCCAATCACAGAATGAGTATCATGACATAATATTGTACATTACATATTCAATACATTTATTTTTACACATTTTTCGAATTAACTTTCCCAAAAGATCTTATTTCTATTATTTTAACTAGAATTTCCATTTCTCATTTCGTTCAAAATCATTTTGTTTTTCGCATTTTCATTTTTACTTCATGAAGTTAAAAGGGAATCCTGTTTTTAAGTATCATTTGTATCCTCACATAGATATAACTACTTGAGAGTATCTTTCTTCTCACTTGTGAAGATATCAGTATTCACTCATGGATATTACTTATTTCAACTTTTTTCACAATCATAGGATATTCCTTTTTATTCCATAGTTAACATGATATTCATAGGATAACATGTGAAAATAAAAACGGTATTTTTGTAATCAGTGGTAAAATATGATATTTTTGACAAATTTTCACTTAACCATAGCATACGGTTTTTTAGCCATGACATACGACGCCGTATGCGATGGTTTATGGATTTTTGCTACTTCAGACTCAAAACGAGGCTAAGTGTCAACATCGCCGGATCGTTTGGAAAATTCGAATTAAATAACTTAATTTTCGACGATTCTGATGATAATTTTATCTATGGAATAAAAAGAACATCCTATGATTTACTTGTAATATGATTTTAATCCACTCATGGATATTGATATCTGCACTCTCTCGCTACGCTTGCTCGTGCAGATATAATATCCATATCCATATATATTAAAATCATATCACTCATAAATCATAGGATATCCTCTATTTAAGATCAATACTGCGATATCACCTTCCAGATTTGCCCAACATACCTGATTATACCATCTACTGATCCTGTACACACAACATCAGGACTAATGGCTACCATACAATCTATCGACTCAGGGTGTCCTGGGAATCTGTCACTCATGTTGCCCCACTCCCCCCAATTGAAGATATTGATGCTGCCATCCCCATCGCCACAAATCACCTTCTCTCCTCCCTACAACACAGTAATATAACTACAGTAAGACATGAAAAACTGTTGAACACCTGAAATAAATCTCTCAGAATGTGATTTTTTCATGTCATAAGATACAATATTTGAAATGCACTTATAAAATTACATCTAAAAATAATTTATAACTTTAAAATTTTAGTTTTCTTGGAAAATGTGACTTCTAGGTCAGGTAGATTCCCCTAAGAGTCCATGTTATAAAATCATGAAAAGAGAAATATCTTTTCTTGTATCAGACAGAGTAGATTTTCTTTTACTGAACATAATTTCAGTTGTATTGGAAAGTTGATTCAATAAATCTTATGAATATTGAAGTGTTGAGGAAATTTCCCCATATCTGCCATCCTTTGACCAGAATTAGCGAATTGGTGGTGAAACTGGTAACTACCTACTAGCACCTTAATTATTAGCTCCCATGTAACAAGAACTCTAAGCTTTCACTGAGAGAACTTCTATTACATATAAGGTGATAAGGTGAATCACATTCATAACTCATTTTGTATTTCAGCTGGATAATTAAATAATGAAACAATTTTTTATTTTGCCAATAATATTTGAACACTGTCTCACAGTTTTGTTTATTTGGATAAAATATACAGGGTGGTCCAAAAAGATGTATACATTTTTGATATTGTCTTGATTCTACATTATTATCAACTTTGTGTAATCATATGAGTTGATTCACAAACAGGTAACAGAGCATTAAATGCAAAATGTTACCACCTGGGATTTGTTACAAACACCAAATGCTGTACATGTATGTTACAGATGCCAAATACCAACCACTGAACAGGAACCACTGAACACCAGCCACAAAATGTTAGAGACTATAACAATATATCACCACTTGTGGTGGTGACATAATGAATGACATCATCAAAGTGAATCTGATATAAAAATATTTTGCTATATGACAATAACAATATGTCACCACTTGTGGTGGTGACTTAAAATGCCACAACTGTAATGTGATAATGATAAAACAAAAGAACAAACTTCCAGTTTCCATCACTCATCTTACCTTCATATATTTATCAGCAAATAGACTACAACATATTAATAATTCTCAAAATATATGTGATGTCACAATAGCTTATTTACTAGTCTATACTAGGGTAATATATGAGAAGTGGATTTCATAAAAGAGTACAATGTAATGTCAGATAGCATCCTTAGATCGCATGGTTATCACAACAGACAAAAATTCTATGATTTATGGCACAAATAGGACCTCAGATTTTACTCTGGCTATTGCTACGCAATTAAGGTCTTTCAACTATGAACAAAATAAATTCTATGATATAATACAATATACATTTAGTTTAAATGTGTTTACATTTTATACCTTTTCAACATATTATAGATCTATATACAAAATATCAGACAAATATAATGGAGAAACCGATTGACATGGTGTGTATATTACATTTTGGAAATTAATGTTTAATTCTAAACACTTTTGGAATAAAAATGAATATCATTTAAATATATATTATCTATACAGCAATGCATTATTCTTACAGCCATGCATGAGTCCATCGACCAATATAGTATTTAAAATAACCCACAAAATGTATTTCAGAGCGAACTACAAACATCTGAAAAATACTGCTATCCAAGCTAGCGCAACTCAATGAAGCTCATATACACGTAATTTGATTCGCTTTGTAATATATGCAGTCCTGCAATGGACATTTCCTCCATATTTGACTTTAATTTATTGTCTCAAATCCATTCACCATTTAGTCATCCATGATACATCAGGTTATAATTTTGTTTATCTTATATAAAAGTACAGATTGTAAGAATTAGGGCTAAACATTCAGTTCTAAGATACCAGGTCATTTAACTGTATTTCACTCATCTCTTATAAAGCACATTTTAAAAGGCTTTGGGCCCACTGTGAGACCTGGTACTCTCTCCATTGATGGCAGGGGCTCTCCTGGTGGTACCCCTAGTCTGTATCTCTGTAGTAGAGCAGTGAAAAACAGAAACAACTCCTGCTTTGCAAGGGACTCTCCTAGGCAAGATCTCTTACCTAAAATAATACACAATATCAAGGGATACAATGTTAGATCATATATATCAGAGGACTACTACAGCAAAATGAAAATCTTCTAATTTAGAAAAATAATGATTTGAGAAATTTGATTAAAGTTTCTGCTTTTAACTTTTATGAGTTATGGTGTCCTAGTATTTATCATGGTGTAACTTTCTGTAAATATTTTTCCTTATAAAATTCGAAGCTAAACTATGAATCTTTTGAAAATATAATCAAGAAATTAATGTTATCAAGATTTAATGTGACCATGATCCTAGGTATAAAAATGAATATGCATTATACCATACTCAATACTTCAAACAATGTTCAATCATAACACTTCAAAATCTTCTAGTTTATTAACCTATTGAAAATGTGAGGACATGATCATCCTTTCGGAACTTTCCATCAGCACCAATGAAGCGATCTGGGTTGAATGTGTCTGGATTTTCCCAGTAGTCCGGGTCAAAGTGAATGCTGTGGAAATTACAAGCTATGGCTGTCTTTGGAGGAAATATGTACCCCTATAATGTATGGAAATTGCTCTGTTAATAACATTTTGTTCATCAATGCATCTAAAATTGAATTTTGCCTATCAAATGCAATATTTAGATTATGTTTACATCTTCACACTTTCAGTCTAAGAAGAGTTTATACTAAAGAGGTATTTACCCAAGAAATGCGCCCACATAAACAAGGACACAGAACTATACCTTGAATTCAACTGGGTTTTCATCAGTGCTGCTATGTCCAACACTGAATGGAATTATTATATGCATTCGCTGCACCTCCAAAAGTACTGCCTCGACATAGGGTAAGTCCAGTTTGTCTTTCATAGAAGGAATTCTTTCCTTCCCAATGACATCATGGATGTCTTTTCGAACTCTTTGTTGAACATCGGGATAGTGGAGCATGCACAGTAATAGCCACCTAGATTATCATAACATACACAAATTATGCAAAATACTTGGTTTGGAGGCATGTAAATAAACATGAATACACCTAAGTTTTCAGATTACACCATTGTACCATTCACGCGGTAAAATAACACAAGTTTTTCAAAATGTGGCAAAAAGAGGAGCCAGGACCAACGGTGTAGATTACCAGTAAGGACCCCATGATTGGTTCAGACATTTTTTTAACATTTCTGTCACAATTGTAGTGTATTTTATATGACGTTTTTTAAGGACTGTGTCTTACAATATTGTTGGACATCAATGATGAAATGGAATGTAATTTCAGTATTTTTTGAAAGATATGCACTTTAGAAGTGTTCCCTCATTAAAAACAGTTTTTAAAAAAATGATTAACTATATTACCTCAGAGACAAGGCAGTTGTATCTGTACCAGCAGCGAACAGATCCTCAATGTTCCACATCAGCTGCTCCTCTAAAATCACACAAAAACAAGATTAATTGTTAACACAATTCTTTGTATTTCATGGGATGAAGCTAAAAATGACATTATTTGGATTATGATAAAGTACACTATTACACACTTTTTACGAAAAATTTGTCAAAAATACAAGTGCAAAAACAAAAGGCATAACTTCAGTAATGCAAATTATAATCTAATTTTTGATCAAAATGACAGAACAACTACATGTAAGCTTTGGAACAAGCCTTTTATGAAGTAAAATTTGTAAAGTACCATTAATGCCTTTAGTGTATTTCAAGTGAAAATCACACACCTGTGAACCAATGGTTTTTCTCCCCTGCATCTTCTTTTAGTTTCATTTCTCTTATGAATGCATCCATAAAATCATTGATATTCTCGGAATCAAACTCCTCCATATGTCGTCGAAATTCAGGGATGAAAACTCCAGATTTCAAGTCTTCAATATTTGACAGAAGCCTCTTTTTATGGAATATGTCACCAGGAATCAGGTCAGAAAATGGAATACCTGAACCAAAATACACCCATCTTGCGTGAACCATGGTATCATTCTGTCGTTGCACCATTACTTGAGATTGTTCATCTTTGTATAAAAACCTATGTCCAAACACCATTGAACATATAATATTTGAGATAGCAATTGTTGTAAGGTTAGCTGGGTCGAATGGTTTTCCATTTTTGGCATCAAGCTCTTCACAAAGTCCACTGGAAATTTCTTCCTGGATTTTTCTCTCAATTTTATTATTTCCCAATCCAAAATCTCTAAGTGTCGAAAGAGCAAACCTTCTCTGCTCCTGCCATCTAGGCCCTGAAACTTCAACGAGTCCCTTAAAAACAAACTCATCAAGTGGAGTAGGTGCTCGACCAACAAACTGTTCACTTGAGTAGATTTCTTTCACAAGATCATATGTATGTAGAAATACTGCATGTTGAGAGAAAAGCTTGCGGTACATTATTGGTGTATTCATCTTCTTATAGAGCTGAAACGCCTCAACATCGCCTACCTGGCCCAGTTGAAATGGGTTAACATGACCGAGCAATGGCCATGGTGTGGGGTGCTCAGGAAGGCGCCAAGGGCTGGGCTTCATGTACTGCCAGATTAGCAGGAACACAACTAAGAACACAAGGCTTGTTGTAAAGTTGTTCAATATTGCATCCAATAGAGTTGCAAAAATACCCATTTTGTATGGTATGATCAGTTAAAATGCAGGCTTGTGATGGCAATTATATTATCCAGTATCTGACTGCTTCTTCTGTATTTTGTCAGCAACTGAAATTAGAAAATATGATAATTGCTGATGATGCTTGTTTTGTATATTCTTTACTTCATGGTGGTTTGTTCATCATATGTTTGTTAAACTATCTCTTCCAAGGGTCGAAATACACCATGGTACAAATACTAATGGGGGACAGATTTCAAAGAAAAGGACTGGATTTCAGTCAAAGGTTTGGCTACATTGCAGCAATAGGTTGATATGCATGTATTGAAATTTTATCTCAAAGCTACTTTTCAGAATTTGTTGACAATATAAACAAGGTATTAACATGCAAAATGTCATCACTTTCCATTAGTTACAAATGCAGATTGCTGACTGCCAACCATCGTCACAAAGAAGTTGGAGACCATAACAATATGTCACCACTTCATGGTGGTGACTTAATCGAGTGGTACTAACTTCAAACTTTTCTTCAAACTTGTTCCATTCAAAGCATAACAAAAATGTCTTTCTGTTGGTACATTACTCTGTTATACAGAGTCCCTACTTTCTGCAGCATTTGGGTTCCCAGATGTGAGAAGGGCTTCTCACAGGGACCAAAATGCTGCTAAAACGAGCGACTCTTTACAATAAAGCAATACACCCACAGAAAGACAATATTGTTTTGCTTTGAATGGAACAATTTTGAAGAAAAATGATGCAGTATGAGACGCGCAATCCTTGATTTTCAAACATCTGGTAGATCAAGAATTCAAATTAATGGTCAAAGTTAGTACTGCATGTTAATAATGAAACGTCATTACAGTTTAAGAATGATGATTTGTCAACACTCAATGTATTTGACCGAGTTGATTTAACATTCAAAAACGAATCTCTAAATGGTTGAAACCTAAAAGGGCGAACATTCATTCCAATATGCACCATTAACTTCACCTAGAGGTCTGGTATGCAGACACACAACATAGAGGGATGGAGTCATAAGTGTCTGCATTGGCCATTTCACCCATAAATCACATGAAAGCCTAATGTAACCCATACATGCACATGGGCATCTCAGGGGGTGCATTAGGTGCAACACCGCTCCCTTTTTGAGCCAATTTTACTTTTCCCGGGGTTTTTGTTTACGGTGCAGAGAAAAAGGAGACTCGGAGGAAAAAAGAACTATGTGCTCTGGCGGGGAAAAGTTAGGCATCAATCGCAAGCTATGATGACATGTTTTTTGTTGTTTTTTTTTGTTTTTTAGATGTTTACCTTTGAAAAATCCTGAGGCAACCCTGCCATATAGTAGGTCTCAGGAAACATGAATACAATTCTCAGCAAATTGCTACAAGATTCCTGTTTTTCCCTTCTTGATCATAGAATAAGAAATGTTGCAAGATACAGTAATAAATACAAGCCGGTTGAATGACAATGAATGATGAAGCTTAGAGAATCAATATTGCTATGTAAAAATACTGTACAACGCTGGAATATTACACACTGCTCTTTAAGCTCTTACTCTACATGTAATTCTTTATCCTTAATAACTCTCTGTAAATTCTAGGGTTGGCAAATGAGATAAAACTATTGTACCAACTTCCTAAACAACAACACATGTATCTACAATGAGCATATTACTCAGAAAAATATAACTGAATCCTTTTGAAACACTGCACAGATTAATTAGAGCAATCTAGGAAAAACAGGATTAAAATGGTCTTAGGTCATATCCCAGAAAATATTCACATTTAAACAATAACATCCCCTTGGCCTTATATTAATAAAGCACCATTATAATGTAAAACTCACTTACTGTAAGTACTTAGCATCATGGCCGCATCCTCGTAATAATGTATTTGGTAACCGCATATCTGCATAAACTGTTTGATATATCAACCTAATATTCCGGTGTGACCTTGAAATCTGCTATGTTTGCGTAGCACTGACTCTTAGCAATGCTTTTCATATGCAATCAACAGCTTTTGCTCTTCAACAATTAATTATCAACAACAAAATGCTCTACTCAAGTTAAACAGGTGTACTGTACTCATTAAGTACTGAATTCAATAAGTACAGTACTGTACTGTACTCATTAAGTACATTATTATTTATATTAAGACTAGTTGAAATGTTTATAAGCCTTGTACGGAGAGAACTGAAAGAAAACTTAGAAGGGTATTACTGTATAAATAAAGGCACAGTATTTTCTTGTTGATACTTCAAAGTACAAAGCTATAAATCTTTTTTTGTTATTTTGGTTCATGGTAAAAGAGTACACTACTTGAATTTAACACTAAAGCTAAATTTCACTTTTGTTAAATGGGACATGAACAGTACTTAACCTCTTAAATACCTGGTGTGACGAGATTTCTCGTCACCTCAGAAATGACATTGAAATCCAGAATGACGAGAAAATCCGTCTCAAAATGTTTCACTAAAATTGCTCTTATTTGAACAATTTTCATCCAATTTACACAAAATTTGTTTTAAAATATGTACAGGGTGTTTCATAATAACCATCCACCCATCAACCACCAAACCCAAATAGCATACCAGCATATGTTAAAATCATATGAAAGCTTGTTCAATTCTGGACTAATTAAAATAACTTTGAATAAGCTAAACAGTCCTTACAACTTGCTACATACCTCTACACAAGGTACCCATTTTACCTTAGCATAGAATCTGATATCTACTTTTTTCACAATTAGCCACATGCCCTGCAAACAGCTATGATCAAATGAAAAATTCTCGGGTTTCAACCGATTTTAGAGCCTGGGATTCAAGAGGTTAACATAGCCATTCATGATGGCCTAAATGCATTGATTCAAATAAGTATTTATAATATCATCATGGATAGTCAAGTTGGTGTTTCTGCAAGTCAAAATGTTAAAATCTGGTTGAATTTCATTGAATTTCGGGTGATTTAATGCACTGTGTCCTGTATATGTACAAACTTTTGAATTCGGCAACTGCTCTCGTTCAAAGCAGAATACAAAACCCTCATACTATAATGTTGTGATTCCGGTGGTTACTATCATGGACTTATGAATCGTCATAGCAAGCAATATGTTAAGTTCTAAAGCCCATGCTTTAGGCCAGTCACTTTTTCACACTTTATTCAAAGATGCAATTTCAAGCTTTTAACTGTAGATGGTCTGGGAATAATTTAAAAGTTAACATGGCAGAAATAACCAAACAGCTTTCAGTATAAATTTATCCTGAAATTAATGCATTAAATCACAAACAATTCATTGAGTCATTTTTTGTGATTTTATAACATGGGGTGTATTATGGGAATCTTCCTGCCCCTAGAAGTCACATTTTCAAAAAACATGTATACTTTTAACTTACGCACCAAGCTTTGTACATGTTGATAACATTGAATAAAATTGAATGAAGTTAATCAGATTTTATCAGAAATTTTAGTGTGTGTCATAATTACTGCACTTTCACACCTGCCCCCTGCCCCAATACTATTCAAACTTCACATATAGACAAAATTAAGTCTAACAGGTCCAAATTTTCAACATTAACCATCAAAGAAATTCAATTTCCTGGTATTTATTCTAAGGATAACTAACCTTCATAATTGAGACAGAGAGTAAATCCGAGTCAAATAATTCAGACTGCATTTCCATCTTTTTCTTGCGTACATTGAAAGCTGTAAGGGTCCCATCGCCACTGAAAGAAAAATATAAGTCAAGTATAGCAGACTTTTGATGATTGAAACTAATAATATTAATATATATCTCCTTGAATACACACTTATAGATGACACCACATGCATTGATTTGGCTGGTTTACAATACAAATCAGGTGGGCAAACAGGGTAAACAAAACTTATGAGCCACCCGCACACCTATCAAACAAGACAACAATATGGCACTTTTTCCAAGTACAATAAAAAATCTGATTTCTCAATTGAGACAAAAGTAGGGGCCGTAACTAATGCCATAAATTACCGAGAACCCCATAAAATATATGTGAGCATTAGTTCAGGAAAATGGCAGCAGAGCCCTCGCCAGGCTTTTAGACTGTGGCGCAGCACCACACTCTATTTAGCTCCCACCACACCCTACTGGCAAATCATGATTTTATCCACAGTCTAAACTTGACTGAATATACAATAATAGCATGTAAAAAGGATAAAATATAACATAAATATGATTTATTATGATTGAACGGTAATGCTGAAGATGTTTGCACCACACCCTAAATATTTCCTGTTGAGAGCCCTGGGCAGTGTTATCATTTATCTCAAAGTTTGATGGACAGACAGATGGATTGTAAAAGCCATAAGTGTCACATTACATGAAAAAAGAACAAGATAATGACCATTATTCATTTTTCCAAAGTTCAATCAATAAAATGTGTAAATTAAGAGAAATTGAAATAAATCTTCTAAGAAAAAATTACCTTGTGGCAAGAAGAAATCTTTTGTGTTTATCAATAGCCATATCACTGATGTAGTCATCATTCTCCTTTATATCAAAGACACAGCCCTCTCTTCTCATGTCCCACACTTTAATGTTACCATCATCGTCCCCTGATGATATAAAGTTCTCATCTGAGATCAACATACTGTATATGGGCTCATCATGGGCTTTCTGTATGTTCTTAACTACAGTTCCTGTATTGAGGTCTACCATTTGTATTGACTTATCCTTGGATGCTGTGAATAGTCTTTCCCCATTGGGACTAAACTTAACAGCCCTACACGCCTTTTTGTGGTGCTTCAGTGTCATTAACTCATGGTTCTTTTCACTGGTTGAATAAGAGTGACTGGAATGGGAGAAATATTCAGGGCTAGAATTTAATTAATCTACAGTAAAACATGTCATTTTGAACACCTTTCAAATCTTTATACCTCTCAAGGTGAAATCTTTTTTCAGTCCCACTTTGAATCTGCAATTGAAAAGTATTGTTTAAAAACCTTCAAATTGTGAAGCCTGCCAATCGGAACAATTTAAGCCAGTTCCCATGGTGATTGGAGTATACAGGTTTTATTGTATACTGTAATTAAGCCTGAAATAAGCTCAATGTAAAACCACAGTAAAACGTGTCTTACTAGAATGCCTCTGGGACCGACCAAGTGTTTAAATTAGCAAATGTTCACATTCCAAGATTTTATAACATGTAGATCAATGGGAGATAACAGATTTGGGATCAAGAAAAAAAACTCACATTGAGAGGTGTTTAGATTAAAGAGGTGTTCAGAGATACAGGTTTCACTATACATGTCTGAACTAATATCTTGATGATTGACGAACTATCAGAGTGATGGCATTGGAATTTGAGTATTTCATGACACTCATAGTTGAAATACATCAATGAAATAGTCAATATATATTGTATATTCAAAAGATCACCAATTGTATTAGTAACATTTTTTTGCAGTTTGTATGGAGCAAACATCTAAACATCCAAATAACAAATTACCTGATGTAATAAGCTGTCATCTTAAAATGTATTAAAACATGTATAACTTAACATTCACACATAGCTAGGCAAGGTGTGTCCGATTCCAGCCAATCCGAACAGAGTATTCACATAATGAACAGTGTGTGAAATATCAAAAACAAAAAAAATGAATAAAATAACGCAAGGAGGATTGGCTCCCAGGATCGAAACTCGATATTTTCCAACAATGAAATCGTCGAAATGTCGTTATTTTCTGAAATTATAACCAACTATAAATTCAAAATAAACAGTCCAAAAGATTCGAACCAATATCTCGATCATTTCTCCTGAGTTTTGGAATTTTTCGTTCGGAAACAAGACCAAAATTCACGATTCAAATGCTGAAGTGAACAAAATGGTGGCTGTTTGAATTCAAATTTTGTATCACGACATGCCCATATATGGGACAGAATATCGATGTTGCACTCTGGGAGCCAATCCTCCTTGAAAATAACGCATTTGCTGTGTACAGTTGCTAAGCAATTGAGATTGAGTTTTCCAATACTTGCCCCTTGCAAAAAGTTTCATTGAAATTATGTCCTTTTATTGATTTTGTATCTTTTAGGTGATTTTATAGAAAATATTTTGCAATGTGTGAAAAAATTTAAGCCCACGACTCAATGCATTGTGGCTGCTTCATTCCACTCAGATGTTGTTTCCTAAACTTTGCATTCCCCCTGCGGGGTTATGATTTGGAAACAACATCTTTGTGGAATGGTTCAGCTCAATTCAGCACACAATGCACTGAGTCCAAGGCTTATATACTTAAACATACAGCTTGCAATAGCTAGGACTTGTATGATTTATGACTCAAAACATTGTATTAGATGCTTAGCTTACATGAAGACCTCCCCCTGGATAAGTCCTGAGGCAATAACATCCTTTTGAGGGTGGAAGTCAAGGTCAACAACTATATCTTCAAAGGATATATCCTTAGGAACCAATACATCTGCAGCTTCCTAGAATATAAGATGCATAAATCTACAGCATATGTTATTTTTGACAGAGTCCTGGTTTACACGTTGGAATGTATAGGTGCAATACACATGGCCAAGTGAGGGTTTTGAATGTGGTCAAAAGATGGCTCTGGCTTCAAGCTTTTTACACTTTACAGCATAAATTAATATAAGGAGTGTTTTTATGAAATTTAAAAATCAAATGACAAAAATCAAAAACTGAACCGTTTCGGTAACAAAATGTCAGAACATTGAAGGTACAAAACAAATTTTTCAGAGGAAGATGTATCAAGTCTATTTTTGTCATTTCTTGGGTTATTTGTCCGTTTTCAGACTTAGTAGTATTATTATATTAATATTTGAGGATGAGGAGGACCAAATCACCCAGTAGACTACAAAAATGACTTTGATACATCTTCATCTGGAAATTTGTTTGGGTGTCCTTCTTGGCCATCCGCCATATTGGAATTTAAAAAAGATGGAAAAATAAACTAATAAAACATTTGTCTTATCCAAGGTATGTATATCAAATCAGCTGAGTGTGTGTAGAAATATAAAATTTACTCACTTCGAGAGCCATGTTAGATTTTGAAACTTATGGCTCTCGAACGGGGAAAGGGACAGCTGAAAAATAGTGACCTTTGAAACACGAATTGAGTTGATCAGCATCGATCAGTGGCTTACTTTTGTTCTCTAACTATGTCATACATCATTATCATCCTTCCGTGCAAGTATTGGAGCGCTGAAATACTTCTTTTTCGAACAAGACTTGTAAATTGTTCATCGAGTGAATGTTTCAAGGGTGACTATAATTCAGCTGCCAATTCAGTACCTCATGTCATTTAAGAGTTACAAAGTCGGGAAAATATTTCAATTTTTGATTTTCAGGAAAAGTTCCAAGTTATGATGCCTAGCTTTTTTGCAAGACTAAAAATGTTATGAAGTATCTGTCAGTGTCATGTAATTGTCTGATTGTATTGTCAGGCTGGCAAGCCATAATTATTTTGTGTTACGTCATTCTGTACTGTGATTCCAGGCTTACGCCATATTGAAACAAGGCATTAACATGACAAAATGTCACCACCTAGCTGCTCACAATATTATGAGTTCAAACTTAGGTCAGATTTGAATTTCTGAGAACTTGTAAAGTCAAATTTGAACTTCTGAAAAGATGTAGATGATTTTGAAAAAAAAATTTGGTCAATTTGAAGCAAGTTGAAAACAGACCTTTTTGACCGTTTTTGACCTTGAGAAGGTCATTAAAGGTCAAATGTCAAATCTAAAGTCAGATTTGAATTTCTGAGAACATGTAGATGATTTTGAAAAAAAAAATTAGTCAATTTGAAGCAAGTTGAAAAAAGACCTTTTTGACCTTTTTTGACCTTGAGAAGGTCATTGAAGGTCAAATGTCAAATCTAAAGTCATATTTGAATTTCTGAGAACATGTAGATGATTTTGAAAAAAAAATTTAGTCAATTTGAAGCAAGTTGAAAAAAGACCTTTTTGACCTTTTTTGACTTTGAGAAGGTCATTGAAGGTCAAATATCAAATTTTAAGTCAAATCTAAAGTCAGATTTGAATTTCTGAGAACACGTAGATGACTTTGAAAATTTATTTTAGTCAATTTGAAGCAAGTTGAAAACAGACCTTTTTGACCTTTTTTGACCTTGAGAAGGTCATTAAAGGTCAAATGTCAAATCTAAAGTCAGATTTGAATTTCTGAGAACATGTAGATGATTTTGAAAAAAAAATTTAGTCAATTTGAAGCAAGTTGAAAAAAGACCTTTTTGACCTTTTTTGACTTTGAGAAGGTCATTGAAGGTCAAATGTCAAATCTTAAGTCAAATCTAAAGTCAGATTTGAATTTCTGAGAACACGTAGATGATTTTGAAAATTTTTTTTAGTCAATTTGAAGAAAGTTGAAAACAGACCTTTTTGACCTTTTTTGACCTTGAGAAGGTCATTGAAGGTCAAATGTCAAATCTTAAGTCAAATCTTAAGTCAGATTTGAATTTCTGAGAACACGTAGATGATTTTGAAAAAAAAATTTAGTCAATTTGAAGCAAGTTGAAAACGCCTTTTTGACCTTTCTTGACCTTGAGAAGGTCATTGAAGGTCAAATGTTAAATCTAAAGTCAGATTTGAATTTCTGAGAACATGTAGATGATTTTGAAAAAAAAATTTAGTCAATTTGAAGCAAGTTGAAAAAAGACCTTTTTGACCTTTTTTGACTTTGAGAAGGTCATTGAAGGTCAAATGTCAAATCTTAAGTCAGATTTGAAGGTCAAATGTCAAATCTAAAGTCAGATTTGAATTTCTGAGAACATGTAGATGATTTTGAAAAAAAATTTAGTCAATGTGAAGCAAGTTGAAAAAAGACCTTTATGACCTTGAGAAGGTCATTGAAGGTCAAATGTCAAATCTAAAGTCAGATTTGAACTTCTGAGAACATGTAGATGATTTAGAAAAAAATTGAAGTCAGTCTAAACAGTATTTGTCGCAAAAAAACGGAGACCATAACAATATGTCACCACTTTTGGTGGTGACATAATAAACTGGACAAAGTCAGCCAATAATCTCTTAGTGTTATTCGAGATATAACGTAACAAAACAGTCAGGTCGTGATTTTATTGTTTATTTGAGTTCTAGAGTATTTTTCCTCCAAATTGTGCCCCAAGTTGGTCGAATTTTGAATAAAGATCTTGAGGAAAATCTACTTTTGATTTCACCTATTTTTTCAGTGCGAGTTTGGAGGAAATCTTTATAGGGAATACATCTGTTCTGAGAGTGGGGAAAGGCAAAAAAGCTCTCTTATGCCCAAAAAGGACTTGATACAACTTCCTGTGATGTGTAACAGTGTTAGACAACTAACATAATCAATGACTTCAAATTGTACCGGGCGAGGGGTCAACCCAGTTGTCCGAAACCCAGTTGTCCGAAACCCAGTTGTCCGAAACCCAGTTCTCCGAAAATTAGGGGATCTTATTTGAAAAATACAATTTTTTTAAACGAATCTCGTTGTCGTAACCTCTGCGAATCACAATATAACATTGGAATAACGTTGACATCATTGCAAAATTAGGCTAAATATGCTAAGTCAAGACGTTAATTGTTTAATGTTTAGCCTACGAAAGTTCATATACAGGTGATATAGATGTTCAAACAAACAAAGTTAAATTATGTTATTCTCATTGTAAAATGGCGTTTACACAACATACATAGATAGGGGTCTACAATTTTTAAACCAATTTTCTTTATGGCCCATGGGCCTTTTTTGAGAGGGAACAACAATTTTCCAATGGGTGATGAGCGTTCAATTTAAGGCTTTCCCAAGCCAGTGGGCATTTATTTAGTAAAGTTGACATGTACATCTTTTGAAACCAAAACTTATTCTTCATTTACGTACTCTGTTCGAGAAATAGAGATTAAATTAAAAGGATGAAGTGAGTACATGGCGAAAATGAAACTTCTTGCGAATGGGAGAACATCCATTTTGATACGAGGACAGCCTGCCTTCGTTTCCAGTTGATCCCAAGTGATTAAGTTAAGAATGTTTTGTTCTTTTACGATTTGATAAAATACAGAGACTAAGAAATTAAATGCGACGAAATATTTTGACAACGTAATATGTATACTGTTTTATTCTTAAAGTACTGTATGCGTAAACTTATTTTATCTGATTCATTTTATTTTGCCTATATAAGAGAGATTGAAGAAGATAAGATAAACTGTTCCGTAATATATATTGTGTTTTGATAACCTTTTTTTAGAATCACAATGTAAAATAAATCCCCCGTTCCTGCCATTCTGGTAACGCGTGCAATGGATGCAAATCAAAGTGAGAGAGAGAGATCTATGAACATCAGAATGCGTCCATGCCATTAATTTGGCCTAATACATGGCATGAAACTGGCCTAAGCTTAGTACGTCTCCCCTTTCTCTGGTAAATTATGACTATATTTTTCGGAGTAATGGGTTTCGGACAAGTGGGTTTCGGACAACTGGGTTTCGGACAAGTGGGTTTCGGACAAGTGGGTTTCGGACAACTGGGTTTCGGACAACTGGGTTTCGGACAACTGGGTTTCGGACAACTGGGGTGCACCCACCGGGCGATAATATGTGAAAGTATAAATGTGTTTACTTTAAATTAAAATTTAACGACGTATATATTTCTAACATGACAAATCGTACACTAATCATGTAGCTCGCCATATAATACATCAATTATGATCGTATTACACACTCATTTTTGATGATATTTTGAGAAAATACATTAAAACTGCCTAAATATTCTTTACCTGATTCGCCATTTCCCAAGATTCACCGCAGGGTTTGTAACTTCCGGTTAAAACAGTCAAAATATTTCTTTCAATTTATAACCTATTTACATGGATTTACCAACGGATAGACACCCATAAGTACATTAAGAATTTACTACTAGCCACCATGGGTAACGAGAGAACGAAAAAAGTGGATAATATTCTGGCTACAGTTCCGTTTCCATGGTATGCAGTTGTGACTGTCTCACTCCCATTTTTCTCAATAATTATTTGCCTGCTGATTGGTCTAATCTTCCAGTATGAAGCAGTGTGCAGAACGGATACTTGCAAGGTAATACATATTATTATGTCTGCATTGCTTGCAAATTTTATAGCCCCTCCCTTCATCTATGGTTCAAGGCCATGAGCGGAGTTACTACAGTACTACTAGGCTAAAGTCCTTTCAGAAAATAATTGAGGAGTCGTGTATTTGGCACATTTTCATGTATTTTAACATTAATGTCCCAAACTCTCTCAAGCTTTGGAAAAATATGCCATGCACCATAGGCGTAGCCAGGGGTGTGCGATCGCACCCCCCCCCATAGATAGAAGATCGCACTCCTCCTTGACTGAAAACTGGTGATCGCACCCCCCCTGACTGGAAGCTGGCTACGCGCCTGAAATTACTGTAAATTATATTTCCCAAAATGAATGTCTACAAGGCATACCAGAGTACTATGCATTTAATACATTTCTCATGAATTTGCGTTCAGCTTTCGATTACTAAAGTAGGGTCATCCTCCATCAATTGTGGTTCAATTTTTATGATAAGTGCTCTGGAGTGCGCGAAAAATCAAATAATCAGATTGGTTTAAACTTATAATCCTGCATGTGCACGTGTGCCATGTTTTTTCTCGTCCTTTTGGGTCCCACTTGGGTTTTATACAATACCTGTTTTACACAAATCCTACATAAGAAAAAAGTTTCAAAAAATCAAATGGTGGAAGCATGAAGATTTAACAGGTAAAATTACATTGAGACAAAGTTCAGCTTGTTGGTTGACGTATCATGTGGCCTTGACACCATTTTCAAATACGTTAATAGTAGAATAGAATTGAGCATTCAATGTAGAAATAACTAACAACAATATCTTTAAATAATGCTGTGTGGAACATCTTGATTTGGGGTACACGATTACATACCAAAATTTCTTCTTTTCCAGCACATCACCAACTTTATACCTTCAATTAGTGCAGTAACCGGGGCACTACCTCAGAAGTACATATGGCGGACATGTATATCACTACATACCCCTCCAAGATTCCTCGTTGCAGTGATGTACTACAATTACTATAAATCATATATGAACAATATCAACCAATCATACAGGGGACTTTACACTTTGCTCATCAAAGCGTCATTCTGGATCAATATCATTGAGAATTTCTCATTATTCGGCACCAGTGTTGTGTTAAATATAGACAATTACCGTAAGTATTAACGCAAGAATTTTAGTAGTTCATGGCAATTTCGCTTGTTTTGAATACTCCATCAAAATCTGTTCTAACCACTACATCTTCTGAGTGCCTTGCGTTGTAGTGTTTTTCTCTCGACTTACATTAATTGCTATCAGAACCTTATACTGTATAGGAATAAACTTTTTTTTTTTTTTTTTATTTATTTTATTGTACATTTTGTTGATGATTTGCAGTAAATTAACTGTAATTTATTTATATTTATTTCAGCTGTTCATGAAAAAATCTTCATCTGTTTTATGGTGACGAGTATGGTGTATATGTTCCTCAGTCTCGTAGCATATGCCTGGTCAAGACCCAAACAGTGGGCACCAGAGGTACGGTAACAGAACGCATAAAGCTCTAATGGATACCATTGACCTCCAATAGCTTGCAACATTACCCCCTGTCTGAATTGGCTTGAAAATATGATTACCACAATTTACCATATTGGCATTCAGGCTATTGCCTAATAGGCAACTGTTTTTCATAATCCATTGCCGAATGGTCAGCTAGCTGTGAGTTTTTAACCCTGGGCAGTGTTCTCACCAGGAAATTTTTTAGACCCCGTATTTTTACGGGGTCTAAAAGAAAAAACTCCAGAAAAAACACTTTAGACTCTGGAAAAGCTATTAGACTCTGGAGCAAGAGCCTGTGTAAAGACATTAGACTCCTGAGAATCTTCAGAGTCTAAAAGTCTAGTGAGAACCCTGCTGGGATTTGATGTTAATGATCTTACCTTTCGCTTTCTTTGCCTTTATTGAGAGTTTTAATGTTCACTGTTCATAATGACTACTACTGAGGTGTAGTTTCAGCTTTTTCTGACAAGCAATTGCTAATTGGATGTAGGTTGAGCTTTTAAATAATGAAGTTAATAGGCATTAAAATTCCTTCTCTATGAAACATTTGCAATTGTTTGTTTATAGATATTGATTTTAAATGTTTTCAATAATAAATCCATAAAAATGAATTTAATTACATTGCTTTTTGTCTTGCAGCATGTAAAATCATTCCGTTTGAAACTACTGATGTTTGTACTGATATCCATGGCAACTTCAGGGCTGATTTTCTTCTTTCTCCTACATAAGTGGTACTGTGCACAAGATGGTAGGTTTATATGTCAAGTCCCTGTAATAATGATCCTTAAAGGAACATTCCTTGCCAGACTATTTCTCTCCTGATATGGTAGCTACAATCATATATATACTTTACATATTTAGCAAAACACTGGAAAATGTTTTCATATGGTCAATATTGATCATTTAAAAATGTAGTACTCATTCCCAGTAAGCTGCCATCTTTTCAGATTTCTTTCAGGAAGTGATGTCATCGACTCTCACCTGTTATAACCTTGTCTATTACAGTATAGGAAAGAAGTACAAAATCACTTCTAAACAAGAAGCCCTTATCTTCTGTGTAAAAATATTTTCAGGAGTTGTCAGTGATCAATATTGACCATTTCAAAACATTTTTCTGTTTTTTGATAAACTTGCAAAGTATGTATATGGTTATAGCTACCATATTAGGAGAGAGGTGGTCTGGCAAGGAATACCCCTTTAAAGAATCAGATCTACTGAGCAAGCTAAACAAAAAAATTGTTTCAGTTTTAGAATATTTTTGGCTCATATCATTCCAAAGTGCATACTTCATAACTTCATTGATTTATAACACATTGCAGATCTTATTGGAGATGTTGAATGTTGTATTTTATTATCATCGCATTTTCCAAATAGTAATAATACAGTAACATTTTTTTATATAACGACGAAATTAAGTGCTTTAAAATTTATACTATTTTTCATATTTTGCTTGCAGCTTTCAGCTATTTTTCACTGTGCGAGTATGTGATAGCGTTCACCAATATAGGGTTTCACTTCACAGCCTATATAGACTTAAACGAGGCAGGTGGGATGTACCTTATAGCAGGGAGGAGTATGCCAGTAGAGGGCAGCACTAACAATGTAAAGAATGGCACGAAAATAAGAGCAAAAGCTGACTAAAATGTTGAACGAGTATGAGTTTTCAGGACTGGTTCTTGAATATAGCATAGTTGGGTTATACGATTTGTGAATTCAGATTTTTTGATGTTACGATAATGTAAGGCCCAAATAAGGAATCCTCAAGCTGTGATATCCATGGCGGAAAAATGTTTTAAGAAATACATGTAATTGTAAGCTGCATTATTGCCAGGCCCAAAATTTTGATTTACAGTAAAACCAGTGTAAGGGGAACACCTTTGGTACCTCTAAAAAAAGTGTTCCACTTTGGAGATGTTCCACTTACATAGATTCATTTAACAAAAAGTCAATAGGTTGCGGGACTTATATAAGTGTTCCACTTATGGAGGTGTTCCACTTACAGAGGTCAGATGTGTTTCACTTACAGGTTTTACTGTATTTGGCATTGATGTTTTTTGAAAACTATGAACTGAATACCTGTTCATACACTTTGCTAAATAAAAATGGCCATGAGAATTTTGGTCGCAAATGTTAATTTTACAGCATTTAAAATTGACTTGTTTGCTTATATGTCCTGTATTTCAAATTCCTTTGTTCCTTTATCAAAAATGTATATACACATTTTACGCAAGATTATATTATTCTAGTACAGTGTCACATATGTATGTATTGTTTCACATTTATGTATTATGTCACAGATACACATATTATGTCACAAATGTATGCATTATGTCACAAATATATGCATTCTGTATTGTTTCACACTTATGCATTATGTCACAAATATATGCATTATGTCACAAATGTAAACATTATGTCACAAATGTATACATCATGTCACAAATGTATACATTATGTCACAAATGTATACATCATGTCACAAATGTATACTGATGTCACAAATGTATACATTATGTCACAAATGTATACTGATGTCACAAATGTATACATTATGTCACAAATGTATGTATTATGTCACAAATGTATGCATGATCACAAATGTGTACATTTTGTCACATGCATTATCGCATGCATATGCATTATGTCAAGTATTCGTATGTATGCATTATGTGTAATGTATTCGTCACGTCTTGGGCATCAGGCAATACCAATTAATGCAATATTATTTATTATCTTGAGTCAAATTTAATTCATATTGACATCTTGCCTTGACTTTTAAAGCTGAAAAATATAGTTCAAGCGTGTATTTCTAGAGAAAAGATGTGGCTTCTTCAAAAAAAAGATTTAAAATAGTCATTTAGAATATGACATGCATTACTAGATTTCAAAGCATTTGATTGGTCCATTTCCATTCATTAATATTTTAGTAATGCACAGTTGAAACAAGGCCAGATATTTAACATGAAGATCAACATGATAGATATTCTAAATCAGTTTCTATTTTTTCCATGTGTGATGTAAAATATGTCATGTATACTGTCACTGTTGATGTATTAGAAAGACTGTAATTTGGATTTATTTGGTACTTACTTAATTAGCAATACAAGATCACAAGTTTTAATCTTTGCCAAAATTCAATGATATTCCCAGAAGTTTTTGTTCAGTTCAGCGTCAAATTAACATAGTTTTCATTTCATTTACTCCCTAGATATTTAAATCTGCATATTAATGACCTAAGTGAATATTCAACGCAGATTTGTGATCTTGTCATTGTTACGAATTGTAATTGTTATAATCAATCTGTTTGAAATACTTATATTATGACTATATGCTTTCACATTATGGGGTACTTCTACTCAAAGAGCCCATGGGCAATGTATGCACTTTTAAAGGCAATTAGATATTTTCTAAAAGTCCCATTTCATGCATTCAAACTCTGGAAGACCCCATAATGTGAAAATGAATTGTAAAGTACTTCATGTTAATATATGCAGAATTATCTGCTTATTGTCACTCTATTTACAATGAGAATCATTTATATACTGTAAACCTAGAGAATTTTGTGTATGAGATAATGTCTCAAAACTGATGTACGAGAAATATATATATTGAAGTATTCGACGACATCTCTGGATGAGGAAAATTAAATTGTGAACAGTTCAGAATTTTTCTGCCAAATTAAAATGTGTGAAATTGTCTAGGTTAACAAAAAGCAAATTATGAGCTTACACCATTAGTACCTCAAGACTCCAGTGTCGCTTTGAAAATTTTTGTATATCAAGTATAAACGTATTTATGGTATAAAAACTTTTAGTAGATGGGTAATGGTATGTAACTTTATAAGAAACTACTGTACTTCTACTCAATTTTGTCCTGCTTATTTTGGCGGATTTGCTGTTTAGAACATTTGGCGGTTATTTAATTTGGCAGACTTGTAATATTGAAATGTATATACCATAAAAATTTACAAATGAAATATGAAATATTGAACTGGGTGGCAACTAAATTTGGCAAACTTTAACAATTTGGAAGATCCGCCAAATAAAAACAGCCGCCAGATTAAGTAGAAGGTGTAGTATCACATCACATGTACATGTATTTTCACTGCACTGCCATTAGTTAATGTTATGGTACACACTTTTTGTGTTGCCCATGGGCGTTTGATTGGAAATATTTCCAAATAAATGCTCATGTTCACAGGAATATGTAAAGGATTAATTATAGCTTATGTATATATTGAATATGTTTTTCAGTGTCTTGTATTAAAGGTGTCAATCTTCAGCCCAGTGTCTTGTATTAAAGGTGTCAATCTTCAGCCCAGTGTCTTGTATTAAAGGTGTCAATCTTCAGCCCAGTGTCAATTAGATTTTCACCGCACTTTTCAAGTGATTTTGGGCCAAAATGTGGTGATACGTTGCATGTTAATGCCTTGCATCATCTATAATGGAATCAATTGATGTTTGATTTATGATATATAGTATAGTAAGATATGCTGTTATTCAGGATGGCAGCTTTTTGCTTAATTTCTCATAAGAGGGGGAGAAACCCCAGGGTTCAAAGATGACATACGCTTATAATGTAAATCTGTATTGAGATGACATCGCCGCTGATTGGTTTAGCGAGTCGATCGTTGATTGGTTTAAAACTAGGTCAATTTGAAAACTTTGAAAACCAATATGAAGGTGCGCGAAGGAGGAAATCGTATGTCATCAATTGAATCATGGGGTTTTCCCTCCTCTTATTTCTCATGCCCCTTCCCCTCTCAGTCTCATTGCACAAATTGGATTAATGATTGAGGTAATGAAATGAGAGTAGCACAGAGGTTTGGAGAGATATGGTATTGATTATGTTATATATTATATGTACATGTTATATTATATGTACATGTAATATAATATGTACATGTTATATTATAAGTACATGTTATATATTATATGTACATGTTATATTATATGTACATGTTATATTATATGTACATGTAATATAATATGTACATGTAATATAATATGTACATGTAATATTATAAGTACATGTATATATTATATGTACATGTTATATTATATGTACATGTTATATATTATATGTACATGTTATATTATATGTACATGTTATACTGGTAATTAAGTGCAATTGTGTGATAATGAATTATAAATCAAGTATTATTGTAAATATAAATAATTTTTAGTGTTTCGCTATTTTTTCAAAACGGACAAATGTGTCTCAGTCAAAATAAACTAGAGACTTTAAATATATTTATTTCATATCAATGAAAGAATGGCTGATACTACAGTAAAATCTTGTAAATAAACACATAAATGTGAACATTTTCACATCTTTAGATAATGCATATAATATAAAAGATTCTAATAATATGAACACTTTTAGCTAGTCTCAATATACAGTGTTCACATTTGACAGGATTCACTGTATTCTAAAACAAACAGCCTTCCTTTCAAACATATCTTCGATGTTATCTTAAACTATTAATCTAAACTATTGTTTCTATTATCCAAGCTGGGATTTAACCAACTAAAATGTTACTTAACCCCTGATGGTGATTGATAATGTCTATGTCAATAATCTGCAAAAGGCTAATAAGCCCATATAAAGCAGATATATAATTTAACAGTGATATAATTTGAATAGAATATAATTTAAAACCTTAACATTTAAAAATAGATCTATGGTTTACAACTCATTTTACCTGGGGAGACTGTCAGGCTACCGCGTTGACATCACCCCTCTTTACCACTAGTGCAGGCTTGTTGCTGTGCACTGGGGACCCTTTACATTAAAACATAGATCTATATTAAAAACACACCTATTTAATTGCAGTTATTGACATAGGCATAGTATGATGATTTAAAACTACTTAGACTGTCACAGTCTAAGATAAATCCCTGTTATAACACATGAATTAATATTGGAACTTTCATAAACTATTTAACATATCTCTGTAGATATGGCTTGAAATATATACACAGACCCCTCACTGCCAGCTTTTTTGAATGGCTTCAAATAATCTCTATATATTCAAGATTCATTCAAAAGTTGAATAAACTTTAGCTACTTAGGATTTATCAATTTCATAATATATGAAAATGTTATGAATTTATTTGATCATTTTTGTTCTAGATTCCTTCAGCTTACTACTAAGGTACACTCCCCTCCATAAGTTTGGCAACTGGGAGTCCATTTTTGGATCACTATCAAAGCATGTTAATGTTTGGCAATTTAAAGAGGATCATCATCGTTATAAATTCCTGGACAATTGTACTAATGGAACAAAATTAAGATTTGAACTTTGACAGGCTTCGATATGTTATAAAATGAAAACGCTTCCAAATGTTCTAGTTGCTAAACTTATGGAGGGAAGTGTATGTTGCTTATCAGAGTCAGTGAGAGTTTTGCATTATGTCTTGTACTATTCTACCCTCGCAGCCCAATGGTAAGGCCCATTATATAATTGGGTAGACAGTATGGGACATTTTGCAAGACTACACTGTTTTAATATATTGCTAAGTTAATAAATTCTTCAAAAATGAGATTTAATTGTTACTAATGAACTATTATTATGCATTTATGTAGAATTCTTTATAAATATATGATGAACATACATTAATTAATAATTTGATTTGTGTTCTTTGTGTCTGTAGATTTCAACATACATACATGATGCTTACATACATGCATGAAAAGAAACAATGTTTTCACAAACCAGGACCATAATGCCAAGAACATTTCATTCATACAGAAGTCATTACAATATATGTTAAGAATAAATATAAATTGATAAACCAATAAACTCATAACATCAAAAATAGTTGTAAAGTACTTGTAATACATGTATTTGTGTGAAGTGTGATTGGCAGAAATTTTTTACTTGAAAATGTCATATAGCCTACATTATCAAAATTGACCTTGAATGAGAAAATGCAATCATAGGACACAATCATTTTTGGGGATTATTCTCTATGATAATACCCAATATTTATTAGCCTCAAAGATGGTAGCACAGTG